TATGATGCTTTAAATTTTCAATTATTTAACCAATGACAGTAGAAGTTACTCTTATTTAGTATGAAATGAGAGAGAGAACCGATTTGAGATTGTTTCCTAGTGGACAATGTACAAATGAGAAGAATGGATAATATTATACTTATCAGAGCAAAGAGGACTAGAGCACTAAAAGAACCTGATTAGAGACAATTAAAAAGGCGATGAGATCAACTTATTGAAGAGACAAAATAGACATAAAAAACATTAGGATTTTATGTAATTGACCCTAATTGTTTTTTCGGATAATTGCCTTGTTGTTATTGTACATTGTTTGTTTTTCTATTTCATTTTGCTTATATTTGGATTCGTAAATGTACACCTTTTTTTCCTCCTGAAATAACTTTAGCACGCATCCATGCATGCAAGTTTGGCTAAGCATGAATATTGCAATTGAAATGCACACTTTTTTTTAAAAAGGACAATCCCATCTAATTTTTTCCTGCTTACGTATTCATCTTCATAAAAGTTAAATTTTAAAGTCCAAACTCCATAACCTGATTATGTAATTAATATATTCTAACTAAAACAATTAATTCTTTCCAAATAAATTCAAACTAGGATCTGACACAATCGATGTATAAAATAGCATTGCTAGAATAAAAATGTTATTAATTTATTTTTAACATGAATTGATAGAATTGATCAGAATAGAAAATTTGGATTTACATTAATTCATTACAGCGTTTGAATTTCCAAAATACGTCGTATGAACTCCTAACAAACTGAATCCAACATATTACCACCCCTGGTCATTATCCCCTCAAAACGGAAAGGAAAGCCCCCATTGCACGTGCGCCGCACGTCACCGGAGATCTATATCCTAGCGGCCATAACAAAATGAGGTGGCAGCGGTCAAATAAACACAATTATAATCCAATTTTAAGGTAACTTCTGACACAACGAAAAATTAAGGGAAAATTGCTTCAATACCCCAAATTCCAACTTTTAATGTGCCCCAGCCCCTCATATTTCTTTAATGTACTGCAGCCCATTCTTTTTGAAAAAATTGTGTCCATGCCCCTCCATCATGATTCCAGCTCATGTTAGCGGATTATTAGACATGCCAGCTCATGATTAGACATGCCAGCTGGCTTAAATTCTAAATTTACCCTCATCTTTCTCATGCTAGCGGATGTTAACTCTTACAGTTAACATGTTAACTTTAACAGTTAACATGTTAACTGTTACAATTAACATGTTAATCATGACCGTCGCCGCGGGGAGGGAGGTGGGGGAGGCGGTAGAGGAGGACTGAAGGAGGAGGAAGGTAAAATCGAGATTTTAGATAGAGTTTGCATTGGAACTTGGGGAGAGGGGTCTGGGCACAATTTTTTCAAAAAAATGAGCCTATAGCACATTGTTGAAAGTTAGGAGGTCTAGGACACATTGAAAATTAAAATTTGGGGGTTTGAAGCTATTTTCCGTAAAATTAACGAGGGGTTTTTCGAAATCTCAAAGGCGAAAAAAGACAACTTTCTCATTTTTACGATATCACCTCCCTCTTTCTCCCATCGCGATCCGCGAGTTCTTCTCTCGTATCATTATCTCTCTCCCACCTCCATCTTTAGATCGGATCCATTAAGCATCCGATCCATTTACCGCCTCTCTCTCTCTGAGCTCAAAACCCTAGCGATCTGGCTCCGATCTGAACGATTTGGATCTCTGAAGTAAGTTCTCGATTCATTGTGAAATTTCGATTACTATAGAGTAGTTTCTATGGCCACAGATTTATTTTGATGCATTTCTATAATTTACGACTTGCTCTTATTTGCGATTATTTGCTGTATTTTTTTATAGAATTTTGTATTGATGAACATATGCTAACTTTGAACTGTCTGTTTTCTTTTTTGTTTTGTAGAAATATGTTCTGTCATTTGAATTTAATGTAGAGGAACTGATTGCTTTTAGATGCGAGTATAAGTTAATTTTAGTTTTCTTATTTGACGAACAACAAGCAAAAAATGTTAACAGTTTGTTAAAAGAATGAATATTCATGGATTGTGTCCTTTGTTTTCGAATTCCAATTCAAATCGAACCCTCATCAGGCCCCATTTCGTTAGGTGGCGGTTTCGATCATTATTTACAAGCACCAGAACCCATTGCACTGATCGGCTGGGTGGGCCGCTCATTTGTTTGTTGTGGGCGTGTGTTCCGGGAGCACCTCACTTGTTTACCGTATAGTGCGCTTCAAGGTTTATTTTTGTTTTAGCGCCTTTTGCCTGTGCAGCTAAGTGTCTGCAGTATTAGAGATGTGGGATAGGGATATTTTCACTAAGCTGAATCTGTTGACTTCTGAGCTAAGTGTCTGCAGTATTAGAGATGTGGGATAGGGATATTTTCACTAAGCTGAATCTGTTGACTTCTGAACATACTCTTTTTTACTGTCCTTTTGTGGGATAGGGATATTTTCACTAAGCTGAATCTGTTGACTTCTGAACATACTCTTTTTTACTGTCCTTCCCGTCTCTTTGCATCAATGCGGGAATACCAGGAAAGATCAGATGGACAGAAGGAGCTGCTAAAGCAACTGCCAATTTCCTGTTGATTCGCAGGACGGACAGAGATATTATTACATTACTGTGACAATCCTAACCCAGGAAAAGAGCTTTTTATTTGAATTGATTTGAATGCACTTAATCAAATCAACTAAATATTGACTCTAGATATTCCCTTATTCACTTTGATTGATTAGATTCCACTCCTAGTATTTTGGTCTTGTGGGTTTTTCGACATTTCTTCCTGTTTGTCAATACTAATACTTTCAGCATTTACAATGTGTAATCGTGCCTCTGATCCTTGCTCGTGCTGCGTACTGCAGGTCAATTCTCCATCCATGTATTGTATTAACTTAATAGTTATATTACCTCATCATTATTTTTTATGTTATCGTTTTAATAGGAACAATAATTAGACTTGGTGTTAGTTTTGCTTTATTTGATGCCCGTAGATGCAGACTTATAGTTTATTGTATTTACTTACTTTATCTATTTTCAGTTCTCCATTGAAATTTTGGTAATGTCCTTTTTATTTTGCAGTTACTTATTCGTTAAATACCTGATCATGGATATTGGGGAAATTGAGAGCACAGATGAGGAAATGCCTGCACATACAGGACGACAGTATAGTCCGGTGACATTGCATGATCGACCAGTTATCGAAATGTCCTCACTGGAGGCTGGAACTTCTTCAGAAACTTCACTGAAGTATATCCAAAGATCCTTTAATTTTGATTTTGATCACTAAATCTAACTATATATTCCTCAACCGTCCATCGCTATGCCCCCAATAGAAAAAAAAGAAAAAGAAAAAAGAAAAAGAAATAGGAAAATCATTGAAATGTTCTATTTGATTTATTTATGTATAGGTTGTCTGCCTAGTAGAAGCAACTTATATTGTTTCCTTCCTTTAGTTTTTAGTGATTCATTGTGTTGTTACTCGTATAGAAAAACCGCTTTAATGCATTGTTTATATAAATGCCTCATTCTGTTATTCATTTTTTTAAAGACCTGAATTATGGTATTAAAGAAGGTTTTAAAGGGAAAATAGGTTGAGCGAGTAAGATAATGGATAGCCACAAAATTTAGCCAAGCAGGACATATAGGCATACTTCGGTTGATGAAAAATAAAAGTTCATGATATTAAAAATGAAAATCCTAGACGAAACACATTAACTGAGTGAAGGTATGCCTAATACAAAAGTACTTACCATGCTTATTACGTATCTAGCCTTACATATTTATATAGCCACTCCTTATTTGTGTCTTCGAACATATCATCAAAGTCAAAATCTTTACTATATCCATTATTTTCTGATTCTATAAGGTATTTCCAATTTGTTGCTGACTAAATACTATGTGCAATTTTATGACTGTGTAGGAATGTTAAAGTGAGGTCTAATCTAGAAAGTACTGCCAATGGAATGGAGTCTCATACTCGTGGTGGACCTGGTGGATCTCAAACAGAATCAAAATTGGAGTTGTTTGGTTTTGATTCACTTGTCAATATATTGGGCCTTAAAAGGTACACAAAGAAAAATTGATATTTTTCATGAGCATTTAATTTGCCATGTGTGGTTCGTTTGCATTGGATTAATGCATATATTTGTTGGTTGAGCTATCAACCAAAAGAGGATTTCATTTGCTTCAGTATTTTAATTAACAAAATACTTACAGTATGACAGGGGAACAAATTCCAGCACCTTCTAGTCCCAGAGAAGGCGAGGATGTATCTATAACTCTTGGGCGCCCCAAGGTATATTACCTCACTGCTGAGCTTTCACTTCTTAACATTTTGCTATTAGCTGTATTTTATATCAGCAGCTGTGTCACCCATGCTATCATGCAAATCCCATACAGACCGTGCAATCTTTTCTTGCAAGTGCTCTGATGTGTATATTTTCTGATGTTTATGTTGGGCCTTTGATCGGGTGATAAGGTGTTTATGGTCAAAGATTGTTAACAGCAAAGCAATAACTACAATTATGTCCAGAATATAGCGGAGTGTCTGAGGTTGGTTCTTAGGATGTTTGCTTTCTTGTTAAGCCCTTGGGTGTAATGGACTCTGATTGGAGGGCTTCCGTGTGGCTATGTTGTGGCTTTGTTGGAGGGTACATAGATGGGGATTGACGGACGTTTATAAGGATATTAGACTAGTTAATGGACAATTGCAGACATTATTTTAAAAAAGGAGAAGAATTATGCTTGATGGTCCCCTATGCTTGGGTGTTTACTATCAGTCCCCAGTCATCTGTTATAGGGATGAAGGAATGGAGCGGTTTGTACCTTAGCTGAAGATGCTGTCTTGACATGTATGAAGACTTCTTACTTGAAACCCATGTTCCTGGTCAAGTTACTAATGTTGAGATGCCAAAAGTACAATAGTTCAATTGGCTAGGAAAAACTAGTTGTACATGGATGGTCAACATTTTCATTTGACTGTTGAGTCCTGAATTGTTTGTATTGGGCTGTGTCATGTACTTAATTTTGTTGGAAATGGCATATTAATAGGACTAACACATATGGTGGTGATGTTAATTGCGAGATATGATCATGAACATTTAAGCTTCATAGTAGTTCCATTGTTGAAATCTCCAATTCGTTTACTAGAATACACATCTGATTGTAGTTCTCTTCATTATATGACTCTGAATAATACCTTAAACTATGACCTTAATTTTAATGAGTGCTGAACTTTGATATTGATTCTCTTGACTGTTAAAAGATGCCTCTGGGATGTGTTGGTGATATTGTGACTTTGTTTGTCCTTTGCAGGTTGGAAAATTATTTTCTGTATTACTTTCTTTTTTTCTTTGACTGCATGTCTATTGTTTCCTTTTTTAGCATAGATGCTGGTTGCTTACAGTATCTAAGAGTTTGGGTTTGGTTTTCAGGAAACTGGTCCAAAGATGGGGACTATGATGGGTGTGTTTGTACCATGCTTGCAGAATATTTTGGGTATTATCTACTATATCCGTTTTTCTTGGTAATTTTCATCTTTCTATTAATGTGATTTCATTGAAATGTTTAGTACTAGCATTCAAACATAGATTCATATATATGGTTATTCTTTAGTTATGCAAAATAATTGTTTTGTACTGTAGCAGCAAGATATTAAACCCTCGCACCCCCTCCCCCCAAAAAAGAAAAAGAAAAATTTGTTCTACCTTTGATCATCTTTGTCGTTTGTTCTTGGCAATATAATCATCATTAGCAATATTGCAGTTTAAGCTGAATCTTATATGCAATAGATAGCCTCTGAACTATAGGAGGTACTGTTATGGTGCTATATATTTTGATTTCATCTACGTGGAATCTTTTGTTGCTGAACTTTTGACATGCACTGTCACACTTTCAAATGACTTGATTAATCTTGTATTACAAAGATCATGCGAGCTAGCCAAAAACTCACTTTAACTGATTATTATCATACATCATTTATTATCATCTTAATGTCCATAATTGTGACAAAAATTCCTTGAACGTATTGGTTGGTTTGGCAAACAGACAAATCTTAGAAACTTGTAACTATGTTATGAAATTTGAATCTGAAATACTGGAGAAAACTACATAGGGAAGATGGGTTTGCGATGAATGCCAATATTTTTGAAACCAATATCGCTTGGTTAACCCACTTGAAAGAAACCAAGAACTAATGCATGTGCGAAGTCAGCAAAACTTTCATCTAAACACTATTTTCCCCAAAAGAAAGTGATGAATACACATATAAGCTTCATTGGAAAGGACAAGCAAAAACATGTGTATTTTTAGCCCAGTTTTTATTATTTATAAAGTTTAAGCACATTTACATTGTTTTATTTTTTGGAAAAGTATTTTTACTTAGACTTTATGAAATTTATATTCTTTGATAAAATTTAAATGCAGCTGTGAGATATTTGGTACTTTGTTGCTAAACTATTTCAATAAATCCAAACGACAAGAATAATCCGCATTCAACAGAAAGTTATTTATATATGTTATATATTATGTTTACATGCATGCTTGTACATACATATGCATATGACAGGCCCATGCACATGCACACATGAACATTCAAATCAGGTGATGACATAGAAAATTAACACATAGATATCCTTGTTTTACATTCCTTTTCCGGAGCTGAATATTTATACAATATTTATTAAGTATATAACCTTCTCATGTTTCCATTATCTGTTCATACAGTCTGAACTTAACAATATTATTTCCTGTTCCCATGTTTTCCTTATCACATTTGTCAAAGTATTGTCCATCACAAGGATAATGTAGGTTTAAAAGTTAGGGTACATAGCACGTGTAACCCATATAGTTTACCCATAATTGAACTTGCATAAACTTTACTATTAGCAAACAACATCGCTGGAGAACTAATGTTGTTAAAATTTTAATATTAACTTCCAGAAATGCCCTTTCGATTACTCATAGAGGTTTGCAACTTTCTCATCTCTTTCTCTCCCAATCATCTCTCTCTCCCTCCTCCTCTATCCACTTTCCCACCTCTCTCTCTCTCTCTCTAGTTTGCCTCTCTTTTGCTCTCTATTCGCTCCTTTCTAATTCTATCTTGCACTTTTATCTCTCACCACTCTTTTTTTTCCTCCACCATTCCTCCTCCTCCTCCTCCTCCTCCCCCGCCCCCTCTCTACACACACACACACATACATATACATATATGTATGCACCTTATGTTTCATCTAATGACTAACTCTGGTGCCAGCTTATCTTTCTCTAGGTATTCTTTCTTTCCAATCTCTCCTCATCTTATCTTTCTCCTCTTTTCCGCTTCTCTCCTCATCTTCTATCTCCTCTATCCTTTCATTCCCTGATCCCTCTCTCTCTTGCCATTTCCCCCGTACTCTCTTCCTTTTCTCTCACTTCTCTCTCTCTGAGTCAGCGATGGAGGCATGGCGACAATAATAAAAAATTGGGGGTATGAATGAATATGTTACATATGTACTTTATACTCGACACATGCTGGACATTGACTTACCGGATCGAACACCGACACTCCTTGAATAAGCATATGTTTATTCAAATGTGTCCTCAGTTATGTAATACATGCTTTTATTTAAAACACCCATCATACACTTCTTGGATGTTTGTCCTACACTTTACGTTCACTTCTCGAAACTCGCTGGCTGAGTTTGTGTCAATCCTTACCCAATTTAGAGCTATGATCGTTTAAGTATCTTGTTCAAAAAGAAGTTGTTTTGCAATTGATAATCTACATAATAAAAGGAACATAAAAATCACACAAGAATTTTAATTGTCATAACATGTGAATGAAAAAATATTATCGATCTTAAGTAAATTATTAATTTCAATATAATGTATATAGCCACATCCCCACACCCTATCTTTTACAAATTTGTCGTGTCTTGTACCCGCACCTGTACCAATAACCCTACCGGTGTCCATGGCTCCATGCAACATACTAGAGTAAGCTACATGAACGCTTTGTATAGATTTCCCAAAACTTAGTAATCTTATGAGTTTTTTGTTTTTCTTTTCGCTGAACTTGTGAGGAATTTGTTGGGAGCAGAAGTACATGTCCATGGCATGTCTGGGGAATGTGTATTATGATCTTAACCGCTGTGGTAAAAATATACTATGTTTTGGTAGGGTTACTAGATCATTGGTGTATTCAACTTTGGTGGCAACATTTCTGTTCCTAAACCATTTTCTTGACGCCCATGTGGCTATACATTTTCTGTTGTAACTGGAATTTTTATGCCCATTTTTGGTCATAATGTTCTATATGATCCACTTTTCTTAAACGGGGACATTGCTGTTACTGGACTTTTTTTTGTAGGATTGTGGGTATGGCTGGCATTGGCGATTCACTCATGCTGGTTGCTTTTTGTGGCTCTTGCACATTTTTGACAGCAATATCTTTAAGTGCAATTGCAACTAATGGAGCGATGAAGGTATTGTACTCAAAGTGACTCTGGTGCTTAGGGTTATCATTTTCCTCTGATTTTTCTTAATGATATGTGATGTAGACCAATTAAATAATCTATATGCAAGCTTTGAGCTGATGCCTTGTAATGATTACAAACATTGTGCTTGTTCTTTTACAATGGTTGATATTCAGGAGCTGACAGTTGATAATGGAAGTATCAGCATTTAACCGACCAACAAGAAAAATTCAGGATAAAAAGTTGGTAAAAAATAGATTGTGTACTTAACCTTTATCCCCGAACCCTTTGGTCTAGAAACTCTCCTGCCTGAAAAGAATCTCCAAAAGTAATGTGTTTTTAAACAGAAGTTAGTAAAACTAGTATTGGTAATCGTTTACCATCAACTTTGGGAAATGTTTTTAAACTGCTTAGTGATTTTTTTCGAGTATGCAACTGCTTGTATTAAATGTTTGTATTTTCTATCCTAGGACACCATTAGTTTTTCTATCGGGAATCACCATCATCTGTCAGCAATAGGTAAGCCTAGGAGACAAATGGAATCACAACACCTGTTCGCTCCTAATGTTTTTTCAGAGCACATCTTGTCAGTAGTTTATTTAAAAGCGGTACAAGAAAATTATAATTTTTCTGGTCTGTTATATCAAAACGTACTAGTGGTTATCCTAATAAAAGAGAGTCATTTCATGTTAAAATAAACTTAAGAGACAAATGAATAATCTTTCAGAAAACTATCTTGTTAGTAGTTTACTTAAAATTCATCTATATTTTCTTATTTGGTGTCTGTTATGTCAAATTGAACCTATTCTGCTAGTAAACGAGCCTCATTTCAGTTTTTAGTAGAGTTTTTACCACATTAGTCCCTTAAATATTTAATCCTTTGAAATTAGTCCTTAATCATTGAAATTGCTACTAGCTCCCGTAATTCTTTTGTTATTTTAAAATTAGTCCCTCAAATCATTGAACTTGCTGTTAGGTCCCCCAATTGTCCTAAGTTGTTTCAAATTAATCCCTCTAAGAGCTACTTCTACTCTAGATCGGAGAGACTAATTTCAAAGTAACTTAAGACTTTGAGGACTTAACAGCAATTTCAATGATTCAAGGGACTATTTCAAAGTAACTTAAGAATTGGCGGACCTACTAGCCATTTCATTGATGTAAAGGAGTGATTTCGAAATATGAAAGATTTAAGGGACTAATACCGGAAAATCCCTTTTTTCATTTGAAGAGCTGAGTTTTTTATTTGAATTCCATTAGTTACTGATTTTCATCTGTCAAGAGTAGCTCTTTTGCATGTAGATAGATCAGTTAGCAGGATTATTGGCTACTAACCTTTTGCGCCTGATGTTTTCTGTACTGAACTTAAAGGGTGGTGGTCCTTATTATCTCATTGGTCGAGCCCTTGGTCCGGAAGTTGGTGTTAGCATTGGATTGTGCTTCTTCCTTGGGAACGCTGTTGCTGGAGCTATGTAAGTTTCTAAAATGTTGATTATGATCTATGCCTCATTTTCATTCTCCTATGAATTCAGATCACGAAGTTTAAGTTCTATCTTTTATGTACGTTTTAACACTGTTAGGAAAATTTTACTCGTGCATAGCTAGAAAGGACTTAATCATGTAAGGACCTCTAAGAAAAAACCAGGGTAAAAACTGATTGGGTGCGACTGATTGCCTGCATAAGGAATACTATTTTTTTGTAGCGCTAAATATTTTGTCCAGAATTAGACAGCTTTGCTTGATATTTGGTCCCAACATTTAGTTGGGTGACTCATATCTGAGCAATTCACTGCTATGTTTGTGTCCGAATTAAGTTGGCAACATTCTTAATCGTCTATGACAATGCCACAATGAATGAGCAGTCATGTTATGCCTTTTCAGGTATGTCCTGGGAGCGATAGAAACCTTTTTAGATGCTGTACCAAATGCTGGATTCTTTAAAGGTAATCTATTTTCATAACTAGAGCAAGTTTCAAGCTTCTTGTGTATATTGCATAGTGATATAGTCTCCACTTTATTCCTTGTATCTAATTACCAAACTACTTTTCTGAAGGAACTTGACCAGTTTCCTTTTATTTGCGTAAGCTACCTTTTTTGGTCTCATTTCCTGCAGTGAATTTTGTCTTGATCTGGATACCTCTTTGATTTTGTTTAGACAATGGATCAGGATCTACTAGGATTTTATACTGTATATTTCGATGTTACAAGTTGAATCATGTGTCATACTATCCCGTCAAACTTTATCATTCTCATGAAAACTTCAATTCATTTCAAATGAATATAAAATGCCCTTTATTATTTGACGCATACTAATTTAAACTTCTGAAAGTTGAAATTATTGTCATGGCTGTATGACATTGCAGAAAGCGTCACTATTGTCAGCAATGCCACAATGAATGGCACAACTGCAACAACTGTGTCAACTCCAAGCTTACACGATCTGCAAATTTACGGGGTTATTGTGACCATCCTTCTCTGTTTCATTGTATTTGGAGGTGTGAAAATGATCAATAAAGTTGCACCAGCGTTCTTAATTCCCGTGCTGTTTTCTCTGTTCTGCATATTCATTGGGGTTTTTGTAGCTCCAAGAAGTAATGCTTCCAGTGAGTATATCTGAGAAATCCTTGCCCTCTCTCTCTCTCTCTCTCTCTCTCAATTTTTTCAACATTGTTCTCTTGAGCTATTTCTTGTCAGTCCCTCCTTTACTAGCTTCTTGCTTTTGCATTACTTTACTGTAATTCTTCGGCACAGGTGGAGTTACAGGATTGAAATTGGGCACATTCAGAGACAACTGGGGCTCAGGTTATCAGCGGACTACAAATGCTGGGGTACCTGATCTTATGGGACCAATTAATTGGAGTTTCAAGTAAACCCCTTATTGCTTTTTTCTATATTAAAAGTTTTTTTTTTATTATTTGACGTGATGTGAAAGGTCAACCCATTTCCTCCAACCATCCTTTCTTTCCGTCTCTTTCGACCCCCTCATTGTGAATTTCTTAGTTTCATTGTATAAGAGATCTGACCTCATCAAATTTAATTAAACATCAATATTGATTTTAGAAGCCAATAATTAAGTTGAGGGTTCAGCAATGGGTTTATAGGTAATTCAGACCTAGGGTTTCATAATTAAAAAAGACAAACAGGAGGATGAACAAGAGTCAAAGGACAATTATGTCAGCCTTCAAAAGTATTAGCAGCAAGATGACAAAGATTTTTGAAATAACTAACAGTTAGTATTAAGAGAGTGAGGCTTATGGCCTTGGCCTGTTTGGTTCGTTTCATGGAAACCATTTTTTGGTGGTTTCAAGGGAAAAAAATCAAGACATTACATGCGGGGCCCACTTTTCCATCATTTTAGCCCATTTCCTCTCAAAACAACCAGAAATAGGTTTTCAGTTTTTGTGGGACCCGCTGCATTATGAGCACCTCTCAGTGTGGGTTCCGTATACACTCTCTCCCCTTTTTCTTTGTTCCAACCAAACAAATGAAAAAAGGTGTCCGACTCTGTTTCCTGAGCTGGCTGTGAACCAAACAGCCCCTATATGAAATAACCTAAATGATAAGGGAATATATTAATCCATCCCCTCCATATGAGATGTTGTGTCGGCCTGATTGTTTCCTAATATTTTATTGGATCATCACTAGTTAAAATGCAACTTGACATTGGTAGCAATTGTGTGGTGTATGAATCATTTTTTCATGCATTGTAACTGAGTTGTTCATTTGCACAGTGATTTGGTAGGTCTCTTCTTTCCAGCTGTAACCGGAATTATGGCGGGTTCAAATAGATCTGCATCGTTGAAGGACACACAGCGTTCTATACCAGTGGGAACACTCGCTGCAACCCTGACAACCTCTTGTTTATATATTATATCAGTATTGCTATTTGGAGCTATGGCTACTAGAGAAGAGCTATTGGCTAACAGGTATTTGCATTTTTTTTCATGTGGAATATGTTATTTGAGTTTCTTTCTAATTTGTACAATTATGTGCTTGACATTTAGCAAATATAATCTTGTTACTTGTGTTTTGTAAATACTATCTGCACTTCAGCTGGTGCTTTTGTGGCTTTTGCTTATGCGTTCAGTTATTCTTCTGTTAAAATGTTTCTCAACTTAAATAGCATAATTAGGCCTGGCCGCCTGGGGCCTTAGCAAAAGCCATTATTAGAAATTTGGTTTTATTGTTTAGACATCCGTCATCTTGAATAGTTGAGGTTTCCTTACTTGATCTGAATTATAAGCTTTTAAATAAAAATGGCAGAGCCGGCATTGTGACACTTGTTAGGTTATAATCATGTAATTGCAGCAGAAACGAGAAGGATTGGGTGCATAAATGATAAATTGGAATGATTCAGTTGCAGGTGCGGGGATGATGCGTATATAGAATTCTTTAAGAGTCTGCTAGACTGTCCTTTATCCATTGTGTGCAATAATCCATACGTGATAACTTTTTTTTTCAGAAATGTGTATTATTTATGTAGGTAACGATAGAATATCAGTAGAAATTTTGTGGAAGCCCGATGTGGGCTTTGATTCCAATTGATTTCTTGGCTTATCTGTGCCTGAGTTGAATAGACTTCACAGCTGAGAATCTGATCATCTTACATTTTTGTCTAGACTTCTAATCTAGGGAATTTGGATAGTTGCTCGATTGGTTGTACAAGTTTGACAATGTCTCTGCTGCATGAAAATTCGAAGTCATGATGGTATATCTATAGGGTTAAAGTGAAGAAAAGTAAGACCTGAATTGTCAATATCCACTTCATTTAATCCTATTGGTCGTGAGCAGCAGTGTATGTCAGACACTTTTTTACATTTTCTACACCGTCTTGCCTTGGCCTTCATGCTAAATTGTGAATCCTTCAGCAGAAAGATGACTTGCTTTTAACAGTGTAAATTGTTTAGACTAAGATTTGTCATTAGCCTTAGCACAGCTATATGTCTTCGTATTGTTGATGGCGGTCGAGTCATAGAAAATAGGCATTTTTGATGCATTTATAAAGCACATACATTTATTTAATTATGACTGCGTGATGTATTTGGTAGTTGTTTCATGTATGAAATATAACTACTTTGTTATATGTTTTCATGCATAGGAAATTTACTATCATCACGGTGATTAAACCATACAGCAAATCATGCACACTGGCTATCACAATTTTCATGTCCTAAAATCTGTGGTTGAAACTTCATCAATTTGAGAAAATTCCACCTGTGAATGAAGTGATTGTTTGAATAGTCTTTTTAAAAAATCAATTGAACCTCCTGATCGATGGACTAATCCCTTCATAACAAAAATATAGTACAAGATGCACTAGTATGCTAAATATTTACTAACAGACTGCACCTGTAGATCATCTTCATATAGTTGAAAGCACTTTAAAGCAGATATGTATGGTGCAACAGACATCAGATTTTTGGCATCGTTAGGAATTAATGGAAAGAGAAAACATCCCAGGATAATAAAAAGTTCATTGCTTAGATATGTTAATTTGTCAAACCTGCTGACATCTTAAGTTCGTATTCAGGCTCCTTACTGCGGAAGTGGCTTGGCCTGTTCCAGCAGTCATTTATGTTGGGATCATTCTCTCTACTTTAGGTGCAGCACTTCAGAGTTTGACGGGTGCTCCACGCTTGCTGGCAGCAATAGCAAATGATGACATTCTTCCTGTTCTTAAATATTTTAGAGTCTCTGAAGGGGGTGAGCCTCATCTGGCCACTTTATTTACAGCCTTCATCTGTATTTGTTGTGTCATTATCGGGAATCTGGATCTAATCACACCAACTATAACTATGTTCTTCCTTCTATGCTATGCTGGTGTGAACTTATCTTGTTTCCTCCTTGACCTCCTGGATGCTCCTAGTTGGCGTCCTCGCTGGAAGTTTCACCACTGGAGTCTTTCACTTATCGGAGCATTGTTATGCATTGGTTGGTTGTTTTCTTACCCATTCTACTTTCCAAAGTCTGGAATTTATATGCTTTGTTGAGACGCTCTTTATTTAATAACCCTCTTCGCATAAAAATTATGCAGCATCAAATAAAGTGCAATGACTGAATGTTCGAATATTATTTCAGCCATTAAAAACATTTTATCCCAGACACTTTGGATTTATTTGTTTTTTGGCATGTTGGTCATTTTGGAACTGAGGGAACTTTGTGGAAACATCTAATCTCATTGACATCAATGATTGACCCTTAGAAAATAATGACATTTTTTATACTTATTTTGGGTGTGCGTGCGTGCTTTAGTTGTGCTTGTTAGCACCAAGCTTAGCAGTTATCGCGTGAAGTCCAAATTCATTTTATTCAACTGTCAACCAATTGGTTAAATGAATTTCTTTTTCATTCTTAGAGATGCACATACTTGTATTTCTATCTAAAGTTATAGGCATGTTCCATCAGGTTTTGTTAAGATGGGAACAGAAACATCGTGATACGTAGAGTTTCCACATATTTCAGGTTTCTATTTAAACTGGGATCACTCAACATTACCAATGCTGCAGGATTTTTCTTATTTGTTTTTTTTTTTGGGTGGGGAGCTGACAACAATTCAGCAATTACTTCTCGAAAGTCTAAGGGCTTCATTGGACTTATAAGAGTCTACTTTGGGATATAACTTGGATAAAGGGTTCAAGGCGTTAATCAATGTGATCCATTGCGTTTCTGTCATTCTCTCTTAAAAAACTTTGCTGCTCATGTGTAAGAAAACATTTGGTATCAGTTTTGTTGCATATTGAATCTATTGATATTTTTGGTTTTGTAGTGATCATGTTCCTGATCTCATGGTCTTTCACTGTGATATCCCTGGCCCTTGCTAGCCTTATATACTACTATGTGAGCTTAAAAGGGAAGGCGGGAGATTGGGGTGATGGCTTTAAGAGTGCATACTTTCAGTTGGCACTACGGAGCCTTCGGTCATTGGGCGGTAAGTTAACGTTGTAAACTGCACGATAGCTAAAACCCTATCATATTTGCTCTTGCCAATTTCTAAATCATTTGAGATTGATACCTCTTTGATCATGTTATTTTTCATAAACTAACAAATTATACTAATATGTTAAATTTCTTCTGTAAATTAATTTTTGTTTGGCATGCTCATGAAGTAA